AAAACAAACTCCACCCCCTCAAACAAAAAGTTTTCTTTGATAGAGAGTTGAGTATGTTTGTCATAAAGAGGGGTGAGCACTGAACTAAAAGAGGTTAATTAATGGGGCAGTATCTCAGGAAATGCTTTTGCAGATGCATTCGGTTATGATTCTCTTTTCCTATTCTTCATTGAACCCAGCAGGAGTAATTGTGAAATAAGACAACCAGAGAACATTTTGTGGGGAAAAGTAATGAGTGTAGATTTTTTCCTTAAGTTATTGTGTTAGTTACCTTTCTCTCATTGCTGAGACAAAATACTCGACACCCAAAGCTCACAGTTTGTAGAGGTTTCAGTCAATATTTAGCTGGCTCCAAGGCAGAGTGGCACATGGCAGAGGGGCAGCAGGTCATGGCTGTGGAACACAGCAAAGGCAACAAAAGACCTTAACAGTGTCTTTCTGTCCCTTTTATCTTATTTGGACTACTTAGGGTAGGTAGCACTCAGGCCCTTCATCCTAGTGCCCTCCAGCCTAGCCCCACCATGAATCAGTCACACACTCTAGATTCAGCCACCTCCAAAATATCCTGTGACACCTGAGGCTTTGGGAGGACATCTAGACACAAACCATAACAGTTATCAAAACTATATGATATTAAGAAAGAAAACAAAACAAGTTAATTGGAAATAATTTGATATTTATAAGAGATTAAGGCAGACGGGAGTAAGATATTATAGAAAATGGACTATTTTTCTTACTGTTTTTGTTTTTTGAAACAGGGTCTCGTTATGTAGCTCAGGTTGGCCTCCAGTTTGTGATCCTCCTGCCTCAGTCTTCTGGGTGCTGGGATCATGGACCACCCTGCCTGGCCAAAATAGATTTTTAAGAGATGAATCTGAGTACAAGTACCAATTATGTAGTTAACTGTTATTTAAACCAACTCCTGACACTACCAGCTTTGGTCTCCTGATTTCTAAATTGCAGGTACTGTACTCATAATTTGCGGGGGCTGAATTGCAGATTTACCGGGAGCTTTCATACTGACCTACTTCTCAGCCCTTTTCTTTTTAATTTTTTGTTTGTTTGTTTTTTGAGACAGGGTCTCCCTGTGTAGTTCAGGCTGGCCTGGAACTCAATGTAACCCAAGCTGGCCTCAACTCATGGCAGTCTTCCTGCCTAAGGAATGAGAGGGGTTTAGAGAAGTGTACCTGGTAGGATAATGATTCCACATAGATGCCATAGAGCAAATTACTTGTGGCTTAAGACAGAATGCTGAGTTAACATTGGATGGAAGGACTGCTTGGGAGAGGTAAGCAGATACCTGGTCTACCCTCTCCCACAATACCTTCCTCCATGTGTACCTTCCCACCCACCCCTGTTACTGGGCATGGAACCCAAGGCCTTGCACTAAGTTACCTCCTCAGCCCTTTTTTATTTTGAGACAAGGGTTTACTAAATTGCCCAGGCTGGCTTTGAACCTGGGATCCCCCTGCCTCAGCCTCCTGCACAGCTGGAATTACAGATGCCATTACCCCCCAGCAGATATCAAGTATAGAACTTGTTCACTGTGTTGAGGTGAAGAAGAGGTCACACACTCTACATCCAGCCACCTCTGAAAAAAACCCCACGAATGACTGCATGAGGCTTTGGGGGGACATCTAAACATGAGCCATAACAACTACATAGTGGTCCTTGTCTCAGAATTTACAAAAAAGGGGGCTGCTTCTTTTGCATTTAACTTGAGTTGCAGTTAGCTGATTTTAGTTTGGTACTTGATTAAAAGTTTATAAATTGAACAAGAAGAAACAGGGATTTATATTAGCAAGAATGTTGGCTGGGGGTGTGGTTCGGTGGAAGTACACGTATTTAGCATGTCCAAGGCTCTGGGTTTAAACCCCTACTACCATGTTGAAGAAAGGTTGACATTTGGGGGAAGAAAGTCTTTGATTCCTTCTGGGTATGGTGGTACACACCTGTACCCAGCACTGGGAAGGCTGAGGAAGGATTGCCATGAGTTCGAGGGCGGCCTGGGATACATAGTAAAACCTTGTCTCAAGCAAACCAACCAAAACCCAGTACCTTCTGTTCCTTCTAATTACTAAGGAAAATAAGTTCACATCTCAAAACTTTTAGACATCTAAGCTGATTGACTGGTGCATTTGATAGCTGCATCCGATGTGCTGTGGGGAGAATACCTAGGATCTGATTTAGTCCTGGTATTAGAGGAAAAACACTGGGGGTATGGAGAGGGGTCTCAAACTCACAGCGATCCTCCTGCCTCAGCCTCCCGAGTGCTGGCATTACAGGTGTGCACCACCATGCTCGGCTTTTCTGGTTTCTTTTTGAGGTAGGGTCTCACTGTGTTGTTCGGGCTAGCTTTGAACTCATTATGCAGCCCAGGCTGGCCTCAAACTCCTGGCGATCCTCTTGCCACAGCTTCCCAAGGGCTGGGATTACAGGTGTGCACCACTATGTCTCACAGGCCTTGCTGTTTTAAAAAAAAAAATTCCCACCTAATTTTATTTTTTTTCTTTTTACAGAACTGGGCAGTGAACTCAATACCTCATGCACAGTAGACAAGCGTTTTACCCCTAATCTACTTTTTATTATGAGACAAGGTCTGGCTAAATTGCCCAGGCTGGCCTCAAATGTACAACCCTATTGTCTCAGCCTCTGGAGTAGCTGGGATTACAAGCATGGTTCACCATGCCTGGCTTCCCACATAATTTTAATAGGCAGTCAGAACTAAGAACCACTGGGTAATCCTCTTTGAGCCTTTGTTTTCTTACCTAGAAAATGTGCATAATGATACTTACTTATAAGGCTGTTGTACCATGTGAACCAAAGAGCATGAAACAGCACTACAAGAGGTGATTATTCTCATGGACTTCCCCACACATCCAGAAGTGCCCACGCGACACATTTATGTAAACCCCTGCCAAATCTATCATTCCTATTTGCAGTATCTCCAGTCTCACTGTCAGAAACCTTGCTCTAGTACTGAAGATCAACCACCTCCCATTCATTCACTTATTTAAAGGCAGGGTCTCACTATGTAGTCCAGGCTGGCCTCAATCTCATAGCGATCCTCCTGCCTCAGCCTCCCAAGGGCTGGGATTACAGGCGTGCGCCACCATGCCCAGCCCACCTCCCCTTACTAGGGCTCATCTCTAGTTTGCTCTCTGCAAGGTACATATTCTGCTAATATCCACTTCATTTGCTGGGCATGGCAGCATTCAGGATCACTTGAGCCCACTCATTCAAGACCAGCCTGGGCTACATAGTGAGACCCCTCTCCATACCCCCATTGTTTTTCCTCTAATACCAGGACTAAATCAGATCCTAGGTATTCTCCCCAAGGCACATCGGATGCAGCTATCAAATGCACCAGTCAGTCAGCTTAGATGTCTAAAAGTTTTGAGATCTGAACTTATTTTCCTTAGTAATCAGAAGGAACAAAAGGTACTGGGTTTTTGTTGGTTTGCTTGAGACAAGGTTTTACTATGTATCCCAGGCTGCCCTGGACATACATAGTGAGACGCTGTCTCAAAAAAAACAGAAAAGCGGGAGACAGACAGAGTCAGTAAGGTGGTGGCCTTGCCCCTGGTGATTGTGCAGCTCTTCCAGGGCTCCACTATTTGTTTGTTTTTTTGGTACCAAGGATCAGGCCTTTGTGCTTGTGAGGCAGGCGCCTGAACCACTGAGCTAAATCCCTGGCCCCACTATTTGTTTTTTAAATGCTCCCAGGTGATTCTAACATGTAGCCAATGCTGAGAACCATGGAATTAAATGTCTGCTAGGAATTGGCAGAGGCAGAACTTGAAACCTGATCTTTTGTCTCTTGGTTTCAAATTTTTCTCCCTCCCTGCATATCTCCGTGTCTTTCATTTTCTCTCCATATTGCATCTCATACTTTTCATGCTACTTCATTCCAGACAGTCATCAGGATCCCTGATTGGATGTGAGGGTGGTGATGGTGTTAGTATCTGGTCTGGTTTTCATACACTGTTTTTCTTTGCTTAGTTTCTGGAGAACTAGGAGCTGGCCGTAATTACTTTTCTGGACCTTTACAAATGTTACTTCTTAGGCTTCATTTTCTCTTATGTTCCCCATTGTCCCCAACTTCTTATCCTTCAGGTTTCAGCTAAGACATCTAACCAGGCTCAGTGGTACCTTCCTGTTATCACTGCTACTCGGAAGTCTGAGGCAGAAAGAGCAAGAATTCGAGGCCAGCTTAGGCAGTTTAGTGAAATCCCATGTCAAAATAATATTTGAAGTCAGACAGGCATGCTACTGCACACCTGTAATCCCAGCACTCAGGAGGCTGAGGCAGGAGGATCATGGTGAGTTCAAGGCCAGCCTGAATTACACAGTGGGACATTGTATCGGGGCGGGGTGGGGGTGGGGCTTAGCTTAATGGTGCTGCCACCTGCCTTGCAAGCACAAAGTCCTGAGTTCTATCCCCAGTACCAAAAAAAAAACAAAAAACAAAAAAAACAAAATTTAAGTTGGGCATGGTGGTGCATGCCTATTAATCCCAGCTCTTGGGAAGCTGAGGTAGAAAGATTGCTGTGTGTTTGAGGCCAGCCTGAACTACATAGAAAGACCATGCCTGAAAAACAAAAGCCATAAAACAGATTCCCCAGTAGCTCTCCACCCTATTCATTTGTTTTGTTTTGTTGGAGTTTGAATCTCAGGCCTTTTGCATGCTAGGCAAGTGCTCTGCAACTAAGCTACATCCCAGCCCTATATTATACATGTTTTCTCACCAAGTTATAAGGTACAAGAAGCCAGAGGCAAAAATCTATTGTTACACCCCCTAGTGCCTAGCAGATCTCTTAATAAGTGCCTACTGCAAAATGCAGTTCTACACAGACCTAAGAAATTGCAAACTTGTGTCCAACTCCTTTTCCAAAGTAGGTGTTCACTGCCGCACTTTTGTGAAACTTGCCACCCTGTGTACTTACTATCTTTACAGTCATTTCCACTGTCTTGTCTCTCAACTGTTCTCTTACACCTAGGTAATTGCTGGCTTCAACCGCCTTCGGCAGGAACAGCGGGGCCTGGCATCCAAAGCAGCTGAACTGGAGATGGAGTTGAATGAGCACAGGTGAGAAAGTAAGAGTGGCACAAACAGTAGAGCAGGTGGGTGGGCCATTTCATAACAGAGGGAGCAATAGCATGCGACTGAAATCTGAAGTCCGGCCTTATCCTAATCCAGCCTAGTGATTGACACACTGAAGGAGGTAGATGAAACTCGCAAGTGCTTCCGCATGGTTGGAGGTGTGCTGGTGGAGCGGACTGTCAAAGAGGTGCTGCCTGCCTTGGAGAATAACAAGGAGCAGGTGGGTAAGCAAGAATCCTGAGTAGAAATTTGAGGCAACCAAGGGATAATGAAGAAGGGGAGGCCAGGGATTTAAGAAATACGATGGAGAGTCTGGGTAGAAACTCATGTTGAGGATAACAGCCTGTGCCGTTGGCACTGTGCTAAATCCAGCTGCTTAGGTGAGGATTTGCTGGCCATACCCTTCCTTATGGCCTTGTTGATGTAATTGAATTGGGTAGGGAATTCGAGCAGTGTGGTCCATGGATACCTACATCAAAATCACTTGAAGAATTAGTTTATAGTACAACTTCCTCTTGAGGTGTTTTGTTTGGTTTTGTATGGGGGTTGAACTCAAGACCTTGTGCTTGCAAGGCAGGCGAGGTGCCACTGAGCTAAATCCCCAGCCCTCCTGTTGTATTAGTTTGTAATATTGCTTCCTTGGATCCACTGCTATAGCCTTGCTGTGACATTTTATATAAGCAGCTGAGGTGGTTCTTGTGACTATTAAAATTTATAAACGACTGTTTGAGAAAGGAATCACTTTTGTGTCTGGGCTAGGCTTCAAAATGTCATCTCTTTTCCCCTTACAATACATTCCAGATAGGGGAGGAGAGGCCTGAAATCCTTACATAATTCCTGTTATTTGACCTTTAGATACAGAAGATCATTGAGACACTGACCCAGCAACTTCAGGCAAAGGGAAAAGAACTCAATGAATTCCGGGAAAAGCACAACATTCGTCTCATGGGGGAAGATGAGAAGCCAGCAGCCAAGGAAAACTCGGAAGGGGCTGGGGCTAAAGCCAGCTCAGCTGGAGTATTGGTCTCCTAGGGACCAGGCTTCTGTATTTTTTTCTACCCTGACTCCCACTTCTGATTTCTCTTTATTGTTATTATTAGTATTATTTTCTCTGCTATTGTAATATTTTTTTGTTCTTGATTAAATGTTTTGGTCAGAATGCTTAGCTGTAGCCTGAAACTTTATTCTAATTTAAGGACAAAGGACAGCTTATGATTTGTGGCTTTTGTTACCATCAGGTCAGTGGCTTACAGCATCAGAAAAGATCCATACTTTGTTCTTTCCTTGCAAATAAAGATGTTTCTGTTTACTGCCCCCCCAAAAGGATTCAAAGACAAATGCTGACTCTCAGGTTGAAGTTTAATGTAAACCTTCGAAGTGAGGCAGACAGCTCTCATTGCAGTGGTTTATGTCACTGTTCTTTAGATCAAGAGATCCAGGGAGCAAACCTGTGGGCTCGCTGTCCTGCCGTCCTCACCAAAGCCCCCGAGCAGGTAAAGCTGATCGTTCCAGAGGCAGGTGCGATGGCCCACACGTTTCAGCCCACGGTCTGCAGAGGGGAAGTGGAACCACAGAGAAGGGGGCTTGCCTGTTGAGTAGGGGCAGAGGGTGGTTATTGAGGCAAGTGATTTTATCACCCGTGGACACTTAACCAAATGCTTGCCCATTGTATTTATCCTTACTTGGTCTGTGGGTGTCTTCAAATTTTATTCTATATATTCCTTTAACTCTTTTCAATTCTTCATCCTTCTACCACTCAGTTACTCCATCTTTTTTCTGAAGTGTATGCTCTGTGTTGTGTCCTCCACCCCGGCCACCTGCCACCCTCAACCATTAACTGGGCTCTCACGGGTGTCATAGATGTAGAGGTCATTGCAAATGGTGTCTCTCGCTCTGGTCAGACTTTCTCCACCGAACAGCACAGCAAAGGGCCCCACCACAGAACAGGAGTGATGCCGCAGTCCACGGGGCCCCCGTTGGGTCCCCTTTCCACTGCTTACAATCCTTGCAAGCTGTTCTGTCAAATGAGGGGCAACAGGGGGCTGCTCCTTGGGGGAGAAAGAAGGGACTGTCTGAAGGAATGTGGGCACCACAATTTCAGCCCTTTTTATCCTAAGCAAGATATGAGTAGATAATACCTGAATCTTCCCATGACTCCACTGCCCAGCTACTTCTGGTTCAGCTGAACTGCACCCCCCAAACAGCAAAAGCTGATGGCCCGGGTGGGGCCCAGGAGTTTGCAGCAGGGCAGCACAGTGACCTGATCGAGAGACTGTGCGGCAGCCTTCTTCCTTGTAGCTGTGGGTATGCAGAAATGCAGGCCTGAGTGGGGCTTTCTGGAAAATGCGTGTTGTACTGCTTTTTCCCCCATTCCCCTTGCCAAGGATGGAAAGACCAGGGGCAGAATCCTGGGAAGTTAACTGGTGAGTTCTGATGTCCTAAGGCAGATTATAGGAAAGGGGGTGCCATCGTGAGCCCGTGGCTAAACTGCCCGCGGGTTTTTTTCCAGTTTGGAACGAAGGTTTGAGGTTTTGGGAGAGGGGTGCCATACCAATAGGTGCGGGCGCCAGGGTCCAGCTTTAACGCGTAGATGCTTCCATAACGTCGCTGAGTGCGGACCCCACCCTCTCGGCCGGCCACCCGCAGCTCCCGGTCTGAGAGGCGAGTGCATGTGTGACTGCTGAGGCCAGCAGGGGGACAGTTGCCAGGGGCCGCTTTCCACTCTTCCCACACTCCACGCTCTGTGTCCAGCGCAGCCACAGAAGCCAGGCGCCGCGAACCGTCCCAGCCGCCCACGATGCAGAGCCAGCGGCCGCCCTCTG